GTTTCAATATTTTTGGTAACTCCGACTGCATATAAGCTGTCAGAATAAATATTAATAGGCTCATTTGAAAAGTAATCTAAGGCACAGATCAGAGCTTGAAGCTCTGCTCTTTGGGCAGAAGTATAAGAAGTTTGTATCACCTCTGTGTGAACACGACTGAAAAAACCTGCTTTACCTGAGTTGGAACCATCTGTTAATACCGATAAAGCTCCCTCTATTGGATGAGCTCGTACAATTTTTGGAAAGATAAGTGACATTAATGATGCAAATTGTACAATCTTATCACGAGGATAATGGCTATCTATCTGGCAAGGAAAATCAGCAAAAGCTATCTGCCATGAGCTAGAAGTTTGAAAAAGCCAATTAGTCTGTTGGACAGAAAATTGAATAATTATGATATCAGGCTCAGATCCAATTAATTGTAAAATCCTAGTTCTACCTTTAATTABTAATTGAGCTATAGAATCATGAAAAGGAACTAATGTTTTTTGAGGGGAGTGGGATAAATAAATCTACTCAATAACTCCTAATCTTTGCCATATGGCTCCTGTTGGGGTATGCTCAGTTGGGAATATTAATAAATACACTATTTCTTTAGGATCTATTCTAGTAAGCTGTGCATTTTTAATTGCAACTTCAACTTTTCTTAAGGCTGCCTTAGCTTCCAAAGTTAGCTGGCGTGGAGAGGTTGGAGAGGATTTCCTTGTAATATCTGAAATAAAGGACTTAACTCAGAAGTACTTAGTTTTAAGGATGGCCTCAGCCAATTAATATGTCCTAATAGTTTTTGAAAATCATTAAGGGTATGTAACTCTTTAACTCTTATCTGAAGATTTTGAGGACGGATTGTACGTCCTTGAATTATCTGACCTAGATATTAAAAAGGAGATACCTTTTGAATTTTTTGAGGAGCTATACATAAACCCATTGCTGTAAGCGAAGTCTCTAACTGAGTAAAAATTTCTGAAAGTACCTGTGGATCAGCATGAGCCAATAATATATCATCCATAAAATGAATAATATATGCATCAGGAAAACTATTTCTAATGGGATTTATCGCCTGGTCAACGTATTTTTGGCACAGTGTAGGACTATTATGCATTCCCTGAGGAAGAACCTTCCAGCAATATCTYTTAACAGGTTCCTTAAAATTAATTGCTGGGACAGTGAAAGCAAAYCTTTCACAATCTTCAGGATGTAACCTTATAGAGAAAAAGCAGTCYTTTAAATCTATTACCATCAAGCTATAATCTAAAGGAATGGCTGTGGGGGAGGGAAGTCCTGGCTGTAATGATCCCATAGGCTGAATTGCATGATTTATTGCCCTTAAATCCTGTAGTAATCTCCAATTTCCTGACTTTTTCCTAATAACAAAAATAGGTGTGTTCCAAGGACTAAGCGTTGGTTCAATATGACCAGCCTGAARTTGTTCCTCAACTAATCTATGAATTATTTTAAGCTTTTCCCCTGAGATGGGCCACTGAGAAATCCATATAGGCTCCTCTGTGAGCCAGGTGATTTTTTCAGCTGTCTTAGGGATCGGGGAAGTACTCAGGGCCCCTAGTAAAAATTTTGGTTTGGAGCATTTACTAATCTTTGTCGTGGAGACTGGCTTGTAAACAGATACTCTTCCTGAAAGGTCTCCTTATCATCTCCAGGAAAATACCTCTGGTTAACTTCCTCAACTGACCTTATAGAATTTGGAGTAACTAATAACAATCCCATTTTGGCTAAAATATCTCTTCCCCATAGGTTAGCTGGTAAAGACTCTAACACATAAGGCTTAAATACTCCACTGTTCCCATCGGAATCTTCCCAACGGAGATAGTTGGCACTTTGAGCAGGCTGTGAAACCTGTCCTATTCCCTCTAGGTTAGCTGGTGCTACATGCAAAGGCCAGTTCCTAGGCCAAAATCGATCAGACAGTACCGAGATATCAGCTCCTGTGTCTATTATCCCTAGAAAATTTTTATTATTAATTCTAAGTTTTAATAAAGGGCATTCTTGCTGTAGTAACTGTGATCAGTATACTCTGTCCGGCTGTTTAGAAACTGAATCTACCAGCAGGTGCCTTTCTGAGACACAAGGCAATAATATTAATTGGGCAAAAGTATCCTTTGGGGTGAGCCTTAGGGCATAATTTGATTTTACAGTAACATATAACTGTCCTTTAAATTTTGAATCTATCACACCAGGTATCACCTCGATGGCTTCCTTTAAATTATTATGTCCCCAAATTAAACCTACAGTATTATCAGGAAGCGGCCCGAAAATCCCAGTAGGGATTTGTTCTGGCCCCATTTCAGGATTTAATTCAACTGTCTTTGAAGGTCCTAAGAAAACTGTTTGTGATCTCTGTCCTGATAAAAATCGCGGGCTGCTCTGGTCAGTGCCAGTGACGTCACACTCTGCGACCTCCCTTGGAATTCCCCGTATTGTTGCTCGGCTCCCGCTAGGAGGAAATGATGGTGGTGAGAAGGCGGGCTGATCCGTGCCATCTGAATCTTCCACATGGGGCTGTGAGTTTAAGTTCACATTTCTAACCTTTGGCTTGGCCCTTAGTGCCTTTGTTTTTAAATGGCTTAAGGGAAAGGGAATTAACTTAGCCTCAGGCTGATTCTCCATTTGAATAGACCTAACAGCTCCTTGAATGCCTTTTAAAAGGTCCTCAGGGGGCCTTGTACTCTGGCCCATATATTCAAAAAGACAAACTTCTAGAGCYGTCCATGTTTTCTGTATATTTTCTATGCCTCCAGGTAGTTCATTAGAAAGACAAACTCTCTGTAACCTTCCTAATTTCTCCCAAGTAAGTAAATTTGGAGACTCCTGTTCACAAAACCAAGGACAATATTCACCTACAATCTTTAARAATTGTAATAACTGAGTTTTCTTTATCTGTTTTCCTTTCTGATTAATTGTACTGTCTAAAATAGTCAGGTACATTTCCTTATCCGTAGAAGTTGAATTTCCCATTTTAATTAATTTAATGTCTCTTTCCTTCAATAACTCTAGGTACTTTTGTGACCCAAATGTCACTTCTTTCTTTATCTTTATTCTTTTCCTTATCTTTATAGCACGCTCCTACTCAGTCTAACTAATCTAGAATGCCCCCCTCTTGGGCGCCAATTCTACTACCATGCGGCCTGCGCAATGGTTTCATTAATGAGGTTCTAGGCATAAAGTTAGTTAGAAGAGATTGAAATAAAACACACAGACTCAGTTACCTTATTTCTATTGCTAGGTCCGAGATGGCTCCCCTCTCTGGTTCGCTCCTATAACCGCCCAGCAGGGCAGCAAGGATTACTCAGGGCTAGCAGGAGAGAGAGAGGGACTAGCCTTTTATTAGGGAACAAGAGATTCAGGGGAGAATTCCATCCAATGAAGGTTGAGGGGGGGCTGCACTCCAAGGTCAGGGTCAGTGATTGGGTCCCCGGGGTAGGTGGTCAGGCATACCCCCACACAGATGGGCTCTCTCATCAGGAAAGGGTCAGGAAAACTTCGACACAGCCAAAGTGCCTCAGAGCCTTAACGGGAGCCACCAATCACGTGTTAGAATGGCTTCCCACACAAATTAATTTAAAAAGCAAGAATTTTTTACTTGATTTAAAACTGATTACCTTACAAAATTTTAAAAGCTAACACCATACTTTGTGTTTTGAAATAGAAATTTATAAAAAGTACTCACCTTTGCTGCTTTTTTGTCTCCTTCTGTACGCACACCTAGTAGCCATCTAAGTAGAAAGTGGGAAATTTCCAGTTCTGTAAATATCTCAGGTAATGCTACAACTGCACCAAGTACCTGACCCACCATTCTGTCAGCTCGACACAAGGTTGGGTCAATTTTGGTTCCAACTCCTAATAACGATATAAGATTCCACATATTCCTAAACTTTGTTTATTAAGATAACTCCAAAGCTAAAGTTAGTCAAACAAGGACAGCACGGGTTTCATATAACAGCTACATTTTGCTTATACCATCCAACAGCTGCACAATTAAATTTCTCCTCTATCTAAAAAGTCAGATAATTGACAAAATTTTTCCTAAATATTTAATAACCAAGAGTTTCTGATATAAGCTGAGGCAAATAAAACCTGGTTAATCAAAGTAAATTTTACAAAGTAAAATGTAATCAGTAAAGACTTTAAGATAAAAAGTTCATAATGACTAATTTTCAGAAATAATAGTGACATTTTTAAACACTGGTTGGTAGATAAGCAAGGACTGTCACTACACTATTTTATTGTATGTTATCATGCGTTTCAGTAATAGAAAATTAGATTATAAAATTCCCAGAACTTGTATTTAACCATTCATATACATACATACACAGAGAACTCTTCTGTAAGAGCTCAATAGAGAAATAGCCAGGCACAGTGCCACATGCTTATAATCCCTGTGGCTCGGGAGTCTGAGGTAGGAGCATCAAGAGTTCAAAGCCAGCCTTAGCAAAAGCAATGTGCTAATAAGCAACTTAGTTTGATGCTGACTCTAAAGCATCTATGAAATAAAGTTCTGCAAAATGTCAAAGACTCCAGAAATTCTCTTTTCCATAAAAAGTAAAGGAAAAACTGACAAAAATGTGAGATAAACTTTTGAAACTCTGAAAATTAAGCAAAGGCTTTGAGGCAATGTGACAAATGTTCATTAAAACAAAGAGTCATACTAGTTAGAATAGTGAGTTCTGTGACATTAAGATATCCATGAGGGGTTTGAAAAACTGGCATTTTTCTGCAATCCAGAAGGTCAAATGAATGGGTAAGAATGTCATATGATTAGGCACAACCCAAGTAAACCGTAAGCCCTCACCACTAGCTAACCTTAAGGTTGTGTTGGAAATAGACTAACTAAGGCATATGTTAATTGCCTGGTTTAGTGTTGCAAGCTTGCTCCAATGTTAACAAGGACTGAGAAATGCAATAACAAAATGCAATAACAATAAACCATCCAGGAGGGGGCAGAATCTCATATGCGGCCACTGAACTCTATTATTTCACGTATCTTCAATAGAAAATTATCTGAGACCTGCAAGGCAGGAAATATGGTACAAGCTATTTTTAAAATATTTTACCATGCAGATATACAAATGTTAGAATTACTAGGCAAAAGACTTTAAGTCAACATTTGACTTAAAAAAAGTTTGAAACACCAAGCATAAGGAAGATGTTTCACCAAACATACAACACTAAGAGTCTAAGAGCACAAGACAATCAAATAGGTATTCTAGAATTCAAGAGTATAAAAATAAAAAAATTGGCCAGAGTAACTCAATAGCAGATATAAGCAGTAATAAGAATCATCGACCTTAAACGTAGTAAGTTATCGAGTCTTACAAACAGAAGAAAAATGAACAGAACCTCAGAGATCTGTCAATTATACCAATTTAAGTAAAATGAGTTATAGAGGGAAAAGACAATGACAAAAAGAATATTAAGAAGTCATACATAAAAATATTCAGAGTAGAAAAAGGAAAAAAATCTACAAGTTAGAGATTCAACAAACCATAAGCTGAATAAAGAGATTCACAATAAGACACATCATAATGAAATCACTGAAAGCAAGAGAAATGTAATGATTATGCACAGGGGTTCTTTAAGATTAATAGCTAATTTCTCATGAGAAAACAGAAACCAAAATACTACCATAAGAGGTCTCCATAGTTGAGATGCATAAAAATAACTAAAACATTTGGAACAAAAGCCAAATTTCTTTTCATCTAACTTTTTTCTTTAATCCAATGATAAAAAAATAAAAACTCTCTCAGAAAATCTTGCCTTTCCTGAATAATGCTAGTGCTCTAAAGAGAAAAAAACTAAAAACTCCCTAAATTGTTCTCTTCTACAAAGGAGAAGTTATCTCTTAAGTAAAATCCAGCATAAATGACTTCATACAATATACAATATTTCAGCCTGATTCTTTGTAATAATATACATAATAAGCAGCTAAATACCGCGCAGATAATAGTGAAAATTTTAAGTTCTACACATAAAACCCAAATATACTCTTTATGAATACTTACTTTAGAAACATAATATCATGTAATCTAAAATCAAAACTTAAACAATGTGTATTAGGAGTTAAAATTTCTAATTACACAGATGACATATCCTCTTGGATAAAATGACACAAAGCCACTAGTAAAAGTTTATCAATGAAAGAAAAGTTCTTACCAATAAGACCCCCCGGAAGAGCATATTGTGTTCAGCAAAAAGTGAAACAATTTTGGAAAAGATTGGTTCACACATGAGTTTTCCTTCACTATCTTTGGAAATAATACCAGGTCTGACTTCTATCTCCTGGCTCACCTGAAACAGAAGTTGTTGACACATATGGGTAAAAGAATAATTATTTAAATGTATAGTTCCAATAGATAGATAACTAAACTAAAAAGCACTGCTATTCCCAAGAATGTTTTCAAATATCACAACAAAAAGAATAAAAATCCAAACAGTTTATTTTTAAAGCTACAACCACTCAATACACTAATTACCTACAGGAAATATACATGTTAAATATAAGACTTGCTATATTCAAAAAACAATAGTAAACAATACATTTTTCTGGAGAGGAAAAAAAAAAGAAAATTTTTTAGATTTCCTTTTGCCACTATCATTTTCTGGTTAAGAAGAAATAAAAAATTTAGAATTCAGTGTTTACCTTTAACACTCCTTTTAAAATACTACCACCAGCTACACCCCCTTTAAGGTCATCAACCTCACAGCCAGGTTTATTAACATCAAAAGACCTAAGCACTGAGGAAGAGAAAGGAAAACTATTAAATTTCATTCTTCACATAAAAAACAGCCAATAATGTAGAAAAACTAAGTCAATAATTAAAAGACAAGAGATAAATTCTTACCAATAAGCCGAGGTTCTGAAGTAAAGTCTCTTGGAGGCACTGGAATTTTCTTTACTATATACTCACAGACAACTTCAATATTATATTTCAGCTGAGCAGAAATTGGAATAATAGGAGCTCCTTCAGCTACTGTACCTACATGATAAATTCAAATAGAACGAAAGTTGTCAGTTTAACAGAATCCATTCTACATTATGTATTATATAAAACAACTATTAAGTTTATAAAAATAAACATCCCAACATTCAAGTAAGCAAAAATAAAAACAGTTATGTTGTTTAGAAAATCTATGACATTGTTTTTCCATCTAAGAAAAGAAATCATTTTATAATCATTTGATAGCAAGTTCTATCAATATAAATAAGCAGATAGAAGAGATTAAAAAAATATGTCCATTACCAGCAAAGAAATGTAGCCAACTGAAAAAATGGAATCCAAGTTAAAACATTCGGCCTCTCTCAAAACAGATGTGACCTGTGCCTTGTGCTTCTTGAAGATAATCATGACGTTTTCTGACTGAACTATCCTTCTATAGTTCTGCGGCTGACAACCCCAGATTTTAGTAGCTTATCCCCCAGGAAAGACAAAATTATAAATACTCTGCTTATCAGATTATTGGCACATACAATATGTGCCAATACTACTACTTACATGTCACACAGGATAATAAATGAAATGGAAAATACACAATGAGATTTTAGAAACATAATGAAGTATTTTATTTACCACATAATAGGGTAAAAGACTTTTTTCATAAGTAATAAGAATAAGAAATCAAATGTGAGAAACACATCACAGATTCCCGAAAGTAAGGGGGAAGGAGGGAGAAAGAACACTATATAAAGATTAAAGATATCACTGTCAATTCCAATTTTTGAACACATAATCATTGAAAATCAGTGGTGTAAAAAAAAAAGAATGTTTGTTTAAATAATAAAAACAATAATAAATAATAATTTAATAATAAAACAATAATTGAATAATAAAAAATTTTTAATAATAAAATGGGAATGTTTGTATAAATTATTTCTAACTAAAATATCAGGTTGCTATAAGCAACAAAGGTTTTAAGTACTAAGAAGAGAACACAGATGTTCCAACCATTAATTAATACTGGATAATCCATTATATTACAATACCAGGATTCTTACCTTGAACAAATGCAAGGATCTGTTCATACTGTTCTTTAGCTTGACTTTCTTTTACCAAATCAATTTTATTTTGCAGAATCAATATATGTTTCAGCTTCATAATTTCTATGGCAGCTAGGTGTTCAGAAGTCTGAGGTTGAGGACAAGATTCATTACCAGCTAAATGGATGACAAAAAAAAATTTAAACAAAGATAGACAGGATGAATAATAAGAATTAACTGGTATCTAACAGACCTTCACTTGCCCAATTCAAGACCTGTTTTGGTATGCTGTTTAAATTCTTTGCCTTATTTCTTCTGATCCTCCCAGTCTTTTAACTTCCACTTCTAGTAATGACTGCGATCTGCCGCAAGCCCTCGTCAGCAAAGGAAACACGACACAGGATTCTTCCTTCAGCAGTTTATTCAGGCCTTTGTTTTGACATGTCTTTTAGCTTGTTTCTCTCTCTTCTCCCGTGTGCCCCAGACTTAATAATGCAGATAAAGCCCCAATGCACAACTGCCATGTGGACTTTTCTCATAGGGTGCCAAGTCACAGTGTGCCAACTCATTCTGATAAGGAGTTGTTTGTCACAGACTACAGCGGAAACCAGCGACATCTTGTAATGGCGGCCACAGTTCACAGAAACGGCTCACCACAGCGATCCGGGCCTCAAGTTTACCTTCTTAGGGTTTACAGATAGCTTTTGCTCAGTCAAAACATATATTCTGACTTTAATTAGTATTTGGAATATTGTGATCCATTCTACTTTAGGATAGATGATCACTACCATCAGTTTAAACCTTATAAAATCTTTCCTTAAAATACAACTTTTGGGGGGAAACAGGTAGTACCAGAGATTGAACTCAGTCAGGGGGACTCCACCTCTAAGCCCCATCCCCAGCCCTATTTTATATTTTATTTAGGAACAGGGTCTCACTGAGTTGCTTAGCACCTTGCTTTGGCTGATACTGGCTTTGAACTCATGATGCCCTTGCCTCAGATTCGTGAGCAACTGGGATTACAGGTGTGCATCAACACACCTGGCTCAAAACAACTTTAACCAAGAAAATACTTCAAAAGTAATTGAATTTCACTTCTAAAATTAGTTAAAAAGGCTCTGACTTCTGACTTAAAGTAGAAGCTATGATAGGCAAGGAAAAAACAACATGGAAAACGAAAGTACAAGTAATCTTAAAAGCAGATTCAGTTCCAAACAAGTCTTGATATCTCTGAGTGTATGCCTCACTGGTATGCACTCCTTAACCACAGAAACAGATTAAATATTTGTGGTTCCTATTTGTGAGATATTTTGTTACACAGCAATAGAGAGCAGATAGAGCTATTCATTAACAAAAATGGAAAGAAGAAAAAAGAAGTTCAAAAGCAACCACTAATAATTTGTAATAAAATATAGTTTTGTTTTGTAAACTGAAGATCATCTTTCCCAAGTAGCTGTGTTCATTTTCCTGGTACAATATCTGAGATCATGCTTGTAGAAGTCTATTCTTATTTGACCTCTCCCCAAATAGACCTGACCTACCTATGCCTTGTGTTTCTTGAGGTAATCATTATGTCATCTCTATCTGAAGTATCCTTATTTAATCTTGGGATTGAACATACCAAATTTTAGGCTGAGGCTTCCAAGCTATGTGAAGGCTGGCCATGCCAGAAAGAACAACTACGTGATTCAGTGATCAATCACATGATTAGTCATCATTTCTACATAACAGGAAGTCCCACTAAAAAAAATCTAATTAGATAAAGTATATCAATTAGGTTGACAGTATTTTCATATGGAATGTTATAAAAAGAAAACCACATAAGCCTCACATTTAGAACTCTTTTAGATTCTGCCTTATGTGTCTCTTTCCTTGGTTGAATCCTTTTCCTGTAACAAACCAAACTGAATAAAACTGACAGTGAGTAGCATGATTCTTTTAACAAACTTAAGGGTGGTTTTAAGAATCCCCTCAATTTTCAGGTAATTCAAGAGTGAAAGCAACCTTGTGTGGGGCAGTATAGTGCATTCTAACTTTGCATGTGGCTAAATTCCACATAGCCCTCCACAACATTCACAAAGAAAGCACATCCTAAGCCTTGAAAATCTATCTTGACAGCTCTTGTTAGCATTTCACATGAATGAGACTGGAATCTAAATAAACCATTATTCAAGATAAAGTACACAACACACTGAGACAAATAAGCCAACACATACTTTAAAAAAAAAAAGTCTACATAAAAAAATGTACAACCTCATGTCTACTTGTAGATAAAAAAAAAAAAATGCACCACTGATTTCAATATTTTTTTTTTCCTTTTACATACCATGCTTCTTATTTTAAGATAATTAAGGGACATGGTCATGATTTTGGAAAATTAGCTATAAAAATCTCTATTTATGTCACTTTAAGTTCCCCAAGTCCTCAGTTTTCCTTTAATTATTCCATCTCAGGCTGACCACACTTTTTTTTTCTCCAGATTAATCCTGATATATTTACCTGTCAACAGAAGAGCTGCATCCATTACTGCTGCACCATTGAGCATAGTAGCCATCAAAATATCATGACCAGGACAGTCAACAAAGGAAACATGCCTAACAATTGAGACATAATAACCATCTTTTAGACAATTGAAAGACAGAAGTCAGACTTTTTAGATTTACTTTGTTTTAAAAGTAATGAATATTGCTACAAAGTGGCTAAAAAAACCTGGTATTTACACAATTTTGAAATTACAGTTGAAATTAAACTGAAGATCACTGCAAAGCAGATACAACTATGTGCACACATAACTTTTTTTAAAAACTAGGTTCTGATATGCTTAGGTACACTCTCAAATTCAAAACAAAGATGACAGAATATACAACACAGACGTAGTTAACATTTTTTGAACATTTAAACCTAATGAATTATAAAAACTATTTTATTTGCCATCTATGTAAGTTCACCAGGTTTCCTGTCATTTTCCAATTGAAATGTTTCTAACAGTTCCATGTATCTTTTACTTCCTCACTAGACATGTGATTTACAATTATTATGAAAGTGGTAGCTTGTCTTTTGAGCTCTATAAAATGCAATTTTTATTTTTGATAAAATATATCCAATCATCTTCATTTGTGATGTGTACTCTAGAAACTTTTCACCGCGCCCTAAGACTATCCACCATAGTTTCCCTTGAAACGTTTAGTTATATCTAACCCATTTGAGAAAGTACTCAAAAAATGTATATTTTGAAATTAAGCCATTGCTTTTTAGTAAACTTGGAGACTGGTCCAGGACCCAGATCCATCACCTGTAAAATATAAAAATTAGAGGATGCTGAGGATGCTGAAGTCCCTAATATAAAATGGAGAAGAATATTTACATATACATTCCTTACATATACTAATAATCTCTAGACTACTTGCAATACCTAGAAAAATGTAAATGTTATTTAAATAGTTGTTATACTGTACATTTTAGGATATATAGATGAGAAGAAAGTCTGTACATATTCCCTAACTTTTTTCCCCTGGAAGTTTTTGATCTGCAGTTGGTCTGAAGAGATGTAAAACCCTTAGACATTTAAGATCATTCACACTAAAAAAATCTGAACAAAAATATTGAGTATATTCAAAGAATACAGAGAGAGAGAGAGAGAGAGAGAGAGAGAGAGAGAGAGAGAGAGAGAGACAGAGCGCATTAAAATGTAAAGTTTAAAAGTAGGCTCTTTTCTGGTTATAAACAATAATTTTTAATCATCTACTGAAGTATTTTTGTACCTCTTTCAAAGATCAGTCAAACACCTGTGTGGTCTCTTTTACATTCTAAATTCTGTTCCACCAATCCTTACCTTCAGTACAATCTTGAGCACTACAGTTACATTTTTTACATCAGAAAGACCAATTCTTCATATTTTATTCTAATTAATTCCTAATTATTTTAGCTATTCTAGTTTGCTTCACTTTCAAAATAAACTTCACAATATTCTTAAGAAAAAAATTAATAAAATTCTGACAGGAATCATACAAATGCTTCTACATAAATTTGAATACCATCAACAACCTCCATTTTTTTGTTACTCAAGTCACGAATACAGTCTGTTTAATTTATGTCTGTTTAATTTTTATCAATTTTAAAATATATTATATAATTTTTAGACCATTTGCACAATGATGCTGGATGATTATTTCTTTTTATTTTTCCCATGTTAGTCAAGATGATGATAGCTTCTCAAGAAAATTTGGTTAAGAATTCTCTGTTTTTAAGAGCTTTAATGTCTATCTTTTGGTGGTAATTTTTATAGTTCAAGTTTTCTGTGTTCCACATCTCCACGTTTTCACGTTTTTTGAGATTTTAAAAGAAGTCATTTTTAAATTTTTCAGAACATGTATTTGTTGCTAATAAACACACATAAAGGCAAATTTTTATTGCTCTTATATTTCACACTTTCAAAAATAAATTTTTTGCAGCAAACACTTTATAATTTTCTATATAATCATCATCTGGAAAAGTTTTTTCAATCAGCATGCTCTACATTTCCTTTGCTTGCCTTATACAAAACATAGAGCACTGTGCATAACACAAATAGGGCAGATATTCTTGTATTTCCTTTAGAAACAACATTCAGTATTTCAACATTTGAAGTCCTGAAGTTTTGCTGTAGAGGTTATCAAGTAGAAGAAACTCCTCCTTATTCCCCATTATCAGCATGTTTTACAAGAATTTCTGCATAAACATTTTATTATGCAATTTATAAGAAAGGTATTTCTTTCTTTCCTTCTTTTTTGATACTCAGGATTGAACCCAGGGACACTTTTCATTAAACTGCAGCCCAAGCCCCTTTTTATTCTGAGACAAGGGCCTTGCAAAGTTACTGAGGCTGGCCTTCAACTTACCTTTTAAGTTGCTGGGATTACTGGCATGTGCCACCAGACTTAGGAAGATGTTTCTTTAGTCTACTGTAATGCTACATTAACAATGAATGATTTTCAGACAATCAATCTTGCATACCTGGAAAAAAAACCCTACTTGATCATATCATGTACTTCTTTTTATAGTACCAAATTTTACAGGCTAATATCTATAAATTTTGGTGTTGATATATATGGTTACTTGAGCAGCAGTATCTTTTTGGGTGGCGGGGAGCATACTGGTCTAGACTTCTTATCAAAGTGATAGTGGCTTCTCAAAAGGTTAGTAAATGTGTTCTTCTACTAAACTTTAGGTTGATAAAGAATGAATCCATTCACCTATAATAATTAATTGTGTAGAATTTTTTCAGTAGTCCCTGTTTTCCTTTAGATGTTAGCTAATGTTTCAATCTTCACAACTCTAACTTGTTTTCCAATTGTTATTTGCTTAAACTCTATCAATTTTGAAACAAAACACCTTTTAGTTCTATTAACATTTTCCAATGTTTACAATTTGTACATTATCACAAAACAGGAATCTTATTACAAACTAAATATAATACAATTATATAAGAATATGGTTACATTAATATTAACTAATAAACTCCAGATTATGATTGTCAATATATTTTGGTGCACTTTTTTAACTTAGCTGAAATATTTTTCAGAATCAAATACTGAGTCTTAATAGGCTAATATTATTGTATTCTTTCTGCTTGCTTTGTGTTAATTTGTTTTTCTTTTTATAAACTTGTTCTTTCGAACTGGAAGATCAGATTATAAATTTTAGGTTTTATTGTTTAAGTAAGCTTTTTAATTTCCTCCTAAGAAGGTTTTGCTGTGCACAACAAATTCTGATATTCTGTATTTTCATCTAGTTCAATATCACTGATGATTACGAAAATGCAAATTAAGATGACACTGAGGTATCAATAATTAAAAGTAACCTCAATCCCTTACTGGGTAGCAATGTAAATGGTACAGATATTCCAGAAAAGTATGAGATATGTTTTCAAAACACTAAACATATACTAATCATACAACTCATTACATTACATATGTAAGTATATGTCGCACAAAATGAAAATTTACATCTCCGAAAAACTTATACCCAATTGTTCTTAGCAGTCTTTTAATAGCACAAATCTGGAAACAACTAAAAAAAATCTACAATAGTTCAGCTATATCTCTGTGGCAGACTACTATTTAACAAGAATAAAATAGTGAAAAATGACAGCAACCAGGGTAGGTGTCCAGGACATTTTATAGAATGAAATGAATAGAAAGGCAATACCAAAAGGTAACAACTATACAATATATGTAATATTTCTGAAACAACAAATGCATAGCTAAGTAACACATTAGTAAAGGAGTAGGTATAGCAAGGGAGAATTGTATGTCTATAAATGAGTAACAAAGAGACCTCTTGGTGGTACAATAGTTCTATATCTGAAAGCAGTGGTAATTTTTAAGTATAAACGTGGTAGTAAAATAATGTATGTCTAAACATACATACATTATGCCAATATCAGGACTCTGATATCAATGGGATAAAAACTTTCCATTAACTCTTTAACTTCACATAAATTTTAACTATTTCAATTTTAAAACTATAAAACAGAGTCCTTCTTAGAAAATGAAAGTATTATATGTTCAAAGATATGTAATTTTAGGTGAATATACTTTTAATAAAAAATATATAAAGCAACATTAAAAATGTGTAGATTTGAGCAATTTTGGTTCAATTTTTGGAACTTTTCTAAAAAAAGCTTAAGATGTTTTTGGAATGCTTCCACGGGGAAAAACTGTGATGAACTGAAGTACAGTAAGCTGCTATTTTAAAACAATAAAACTGTTAATAGAATGAGAAGAGTAATCCAAAAACAATTTGGCAAAGATCTCCAGCACCTTGAAAACCTAAATGAATTTTGAACATAACAAAGGGCAACACAGAAATTTAAAACTAAACAAACTAAGTACACTGTGCACTCAGAACTTGTGTTTAAAAACTGTGTTTGTATAATCATGATCTATACTTTCCTAAGGTGAGACTTATGCTTACATATCACATATAGACATCAGTGTTCTCTTATGAAGAATGAGGATAGGGTATAAATGCAATTACAATCCCCAAAGGCATAGAAAAACAAGTCAATATGCTAAAAAGAAGTAAGACTGGAGACAGAGTTCAATGTTAGAGCACTTGCCTAGTATGTGAAAGCTGCCCCCACCCAAGAAAGAAAGAAAATAAGAGGAAAGGAGGGAAGAAAAAGGGAACAAGAGTTAAGAAGAAAAAACAGAACTTATTAAGAGTATGTGTTTACTGTTCTACAGGAGAAAAAACAAAAACAAAAAAAAACAACATCTAAAACAAAAGAAACCTGGAAAAAGACACCATCAAATCTAATGAATTATTTCTTGTTATGTGATAATACTTCAGAGAATTTGCATTTTTTTTAGTTTATTTGGATTTAAATAATTAACTTTGCACATTAGAAAAAAATTTTTTAATTAATAACTAATGTATACTCTATTTCTTGGCCAAAAATAATGTTGTTCAAGATTTCTCATCTCATTTTGTCAGCTGCATCAGCATAAGTTTAATTTTCAATAGGAGTTAAGCTCCACTATTTCAACAAGTACAGGAAATGAAAAGCTCTTGAGCATAAAAATCATCACCTGACTAGTCTGAAGTTTCCCTTGGTCCCTGGAATATCTGTAGGAAACTCATCAGGTGTACTACTTCCACAAGATCTATAACATTCTAGCCAAAGACAACTTGAGTGGTCAAGTTCATAAATCTGAAAGTTTCAAAGAAAACAGTAAAATTGGTCAACTGTATAATTACAACTAAAGTAAAATGTTTCTCTTTCCACAGAATAATATACACCTTGGCATTAGCATATCCAAGCTTGATGGTAATATTCCTTTCCAGTTCATTTTTGAACCTCACAGTGTGAACACCAGAAATAGCTTTTACAACTATAGATTTCCCATGAGCAACATGACCAATTGTTCCTATGTAAAACAAAAAATATTTAGGCACCTATTACACCAAAATTTCAATAGGATAATCAAAGGTTACAACATAACATAAATCTGTAGTTAACAGTGATTTCACTCTTCCCTTCCACATATTCTCTTTTCTTAATCAATCGTGTTTCAAACATGACTGAAAAACTTAATCTGAATAACTTATTTAAAAAACATATCCATTGTTTACCTATACATTTTAATTTATGTAAGAAAAGATTGCCTTTTTTTAAAATACTCAATGAAATGTATGTAAAATTTTATACACTAAGAAACATTACAGTATTTCCAAAATGTAGTAATAACTATGATGGTCCTAGATTAAAAAACAAAACGAAACAAAAAAAACCCCTCAAATTCTGGGAAACTGAAAATAATCTGTTTAATAACAAACAATGCTGCTAAGAGTAGTATGTTTTCACTTATCACTTTCTAATAATTGAGTCTTATCCTGGTTTTCACTCAATTTTACTTTTCTTATAAAGCACCCAGGATATCATTAGGAAAAGCACTACTGAATTTAAAAGCCTATTTATTCATCAAGCCGTCCTGTTATTTTTCCCCAAACATTATTTTAATAATACTGTGAGCAAACATTCTCACTTCTTAAACAGTTCCTATGTTTGTGTATGGCACACTGCTTTTTCTTGTACCCGTGTTGTTCCACAATAGCTACGTGTTTGTTTTTCTTGTTCCACTACGGATTAGGCCATGAAGACTGAATTCAGGGCCTCAGCTCGCTAGTCAAGCATTCTTACACTGAGATACATCTCAGAATCCAACTGTGCAAGACAAGAATGGAGGGAGGGCATTCTTTACATTTCCCAAGACAAAGGTACTTCGTATATAAAGGCTCAAATGTACTCATTAAATATCTGAATCATTCTACAAAAATAATTTAATCATACTAAATTTTCCTACCAGAAAGCACTCAACTCAGGACTTTCAGAAGTGTAGAATCTACGTAATAAATTGTTCTTACCTATATTGATCGTGGGTTGTCTGCTGATAACTTCATGTGAAAGTGGAGTCAATTTGGTAACGTCCTACAATAAAACATCATGTTAAACCAATGTCCAGAAATCAAATCAGGACTTTTTTTTAAACTTCAGGTTTGGTTTCTACAGCACTACTGCAATCCATACTGTCAAACAACAACAACAACAACAACAACAACAACAAAACAAAACAAAACAAAAACAGCCTTTCATGTAAAAACAGTCTTTATTTCAGCGAAAGAACTTAGGAATGGAGAGGTAAAGTTCTTCCTGTTTTCGAAACGGACAATGCAAACTGTCACTATAGATCGCAAACTTTAGTAATACTGAAAAAAAAAAAACTCCTTTATATATCTTTATTAAAGTTGAAAAGCTTAATACGTTTAACACACGATTCCTTCCCGGACCTTCGGAGCTCAGAATTCTCAATAAGTGTCATGAATCACTCCGAATTTCGAAGTGTCATGAACCATATCCTAAACCAGACTCCCAGGACTACATAAGGTGCACCAGGCGGCGCCATCAGGGACTATGGTGCATGGTTACACCGCTCCCTCCTAACCCATGTTTCCAACAGCAGACAGTGCCTCGCCCCAACTCCTTCTTCATTTCCCAGCCCACTGTGAATTCCCAAGGGGGGGGGGTGGGAAATCCCGAGGGGGTGGGAAATCCCTCACCAACGTGGCGAGATCCTGCCGAGAAAGGTGCGGCTGCCCCAGAGTCACTCCAACCTCGCCACCCGTCAGATCGCCCCGAGAAGAAGGAAATTGCTCTGTTGCCGCCTGAGACTACGCAGGCCCCTTTAGTGGGGCGGGGAAGTAGATGTGGGAAAGGCCTAGGCTTGGACAAACGCAAGACAAGTTCAACCGTGGCCTCGCTACCCACTCTTTGTCCAGCTTGTATTTACAGATAACCTACAAGGATGTCCTTTTTTTTTTTTTTTTACGATGCAAAGATTCAGGATCTAGTTGTACAGACTACAAGACTTTTTAGATATTTGTTAAGGCAACACTAAGGGCAGTCCCATAAAAGGCCCCTTGTGAGGTGAGTAATGCAACGGGACATGCGCAGTGGCAAGGGAAAAAGCTGTTTCTTTCCTATTGAGTGGGTGGAAAGAATCTCCCAGAATCTGGAAATCTTTGCCAGGGTGTGAGAATGGAGAGGAGTGCTACAGATATATTTGTCTATTTGAGCAGTTTGTATAGTTTAATAACGCAAGACAGGCGTGGGGACGCTATGTGCTGAGCTAGCCACGCTCAAGTGCCCCTTAATCCCTGGCCTGAGTTGGGGAAGGCGGGCTTTTGGGGATGTTAGCGACAGGATTAAGTTCCTAGTTTATTTTCAGGGAGCCTAAAAGCGGAGGACTGCGGCCTCAATGATCCATGGAGCTACTACACAATGCCTTCAATGGACAGAAGTTAGTTAGAAGATTTTTGTAAAAAAACACTTAAGAAATGACCTCTTAAAGTTAATATAAGCCAGTAAATCTGTATTTTCTTATTTGTGCGTGATTTTGAAAGTAATCTTCCCACATTAAGTTTAAAGAGGCGAAATTATGGTTGAAGAATATGGTTATATACTTGCAGGGTTTTTTGTTTTTTTTTTGTTTTTTTTTTTTAAAGGATATTGGTATTCTGCACATTTTCTATTGAGTTGTAAAAAGCAAATGACAAATCTGGGACTAACCTACGCACGTATTAATTTTTTTTTAATACTTAAAATTCACTTAAGTAGATTTTCATTTTACAGTTGGATTGAATTTTACAGATTAATTTGTCGAACTTACTGGTATTTGTAACTGCTATATTGCCTTACTCAACGCCTTGGTGTGATATCACAATGGGCAGAAGGTGAAACCTATGCAGTGAAGGAGGAGAAATAAGGAATGTCCTCATCTCTGCCCTTTTCAGTGCTTTATTCACTCAAGTCACTCAATTTTACTTTATAGGTCTTAGTCAAGAAAACAAAAATCCTTAATGATAGGCCCTGCAATAGGCATAATTCACAGAAAAAAAATTCTAGGTTAATTAATTTACAGCAAATAATTCTAGATTAATTAATTCTAAGCACTGCAAATACAATCATGACAGGCTAATAACAGACATTCCCTCTGAGCCAAGTTCAAATGTCAGATCAAAAGTCTCAAGTCTTAGGCTTTAAGTCCAGCAGATGCACACTCATTCAGACCAAGGTGATAAGGTCAGGAACCAAGGCAGGCTTCTCCTGGTATGGAGCTGATAGCTAGCTGAGGAGGCAATCCTAGGGAAAAGTCAGGGCTCTTACCAGTATCAAGATGTATAGAGTTTGAGAAAGGTGAGGATGATGGAGAGGATCAGCAATGGATGACAAGTGATGGGATGTGAGTCCAGGTCCTCATCAGGCTCTCCAGCTTGTGTGCCTCAGTATTGGCTGGCTAAATATCTGTTCATTTGCTCATTATTTATATGAAAATTTGGGGCTTTTGATCCCCTTTCAATCCTTATCAGCTCCCACCAGATTTCTCAGTGACATTATTTATCCTGGGGTTAAATCGTCTGGTCTGGTGGTCCCCACCCTAATCTTTTGGCCTTATCCTCTTTTTAGGTAAGGACAGCCTACCAGAGACTTCAATCTGAGCTTCTCAGAGTGGGGGTAAGTGACTTGTTTGTGTCTGAGGGCCATACAAGAGGGCTCTATTAAGTGTGCCTAGTTAGACTGAAGGTTTCAAACTGGAGTTTTTAAAATGGAGTTGCTTAGGCTCAGACCTAAGGCCACCCTTACATATGCCTAACGCTCTCATGTGAGAAATAGAAAGTCAGATCAACCATTTCCAAAATATAGTAAGGGGACTTTAAATATAATCCAGGGGAAATTTCCCACCAGAGGAGAATAAAGGGGGGGGGGGATTAAAAGTATATTTCTTTAAATAACCCAATAGTATATAATAAAACCTAGGTTACATTCAGAAGTTTATGCACTCCCTACATCTCAGCTAATGAAGAATCAGGGAAAGGATCTTGTTCTCTAAGAAATAAAACTGGTTGTGCACACTCTGAGAATTCCTAAACACAAATGACCGAGCCTTGGAACACAGTCAGTAAAGTCACATTTTATACTGTTCAGTTGTGCTTGGGCAGGTGAGCTTTTGTTTCTCACAGTCATGAAGTCAGTGCTGTTTGTTACTGTTGTCACTCTGTTAGTGAACTTTCTGAAATTCAGGTATTATTTGAATCAGGCCTCAACCAAGATGTTCTTGTGTGAAACTCCTTCTGGAAGTTGTTGAAAATAGTTTTTGTTTGTTTTTATTTTTTGATTTTAACTTATTTATTTTCTAGTCATAAATATGTGGTTATGGTTAGAATATGAGTGAAGATTAAAAAATGCTTGAGTCAGCCAAAACTGGTTAGAATCCTAAGTTTCTTTTATATCCTGTATCAATAAATGTCTCTGGAAAGATCACTGTTAGGAACATAGTTTTGAAGCCAGTAAATTGCCACAAACCTTAGATCATTCATCTTTAACCACTCTGAAGACCTAAAAGTGTAGTTCTTGGAACAGAAATTACTCAAATCTTTTAAAATCCCCTTTTCACCATATAAATAGTATGTTTAAAACCTTGCAGTACTTCAACTCCCCTCAATTCTAAGATACCACCACAGTGTGTGCCTGTATGTATACGGTACATCCTCACACACCTGAACTTGATTTCTTTGTTAATTTGTAGTATAGTATTGCGTTTAATTTCACAGAGTACACAGATTACTTTATTTGAATGTTATTATTTTGTTTAAAATAGTCTACATCATTTTAAAGTAAAAACAAGCAGTTTGATTGAAACATTGGCTTATTCATTTACTAATAGTTGATGTGTAGTTATTAATAGTGTTTTTCTGGGTTTTAGAATGCTCCTTAATCATCACATGTCAAAAATCTGATTTCTTTTATGCTTAATTTGTGGTAATCTCTGTAGCTGACTAGTCTAATATATCCCAAATGTTTAGATCTTCAACCCTGATCTTTTTTTATGAGAGCATTATAGTTATACATAGTAATTGGGTTTAGTTTTACAAAATCATACATGAAAGAAATTTTATTTCAATATTCTTTGTGCTCCCTTCCCATCCTTTCTTTTCTACACCATTCTCTTTCATCAATTAATAATTTTTTCCTAATTTACTTTTAATTCCTACCTTCTACTTTTCACACATATGAATGTGAAATTCTCATGGTAAATTTAGATATGCATAAAATAGGGTTTTGTTAAATTTATTTCATACTTCCATCCCCTTTTAAGCCTTTTCCATTTTTCTTATTCTCCTGTTTTTTTTACTCCTGACTTTCCCCCATGTATTTAGGATAGTTGACCCCCTGACACAACTCCATTGTCATCTTTTCTTTAATTTGCTCTGGCTTTCACATTTTAAATAAAACATTTGACCCTTGATTTTCTGAGTCTGGCTTTTAAAAAAATTTTAGCATGATGTTCTCTATTTCTGTTTATTTACTGGAATATGCCATAATTTCATTCTTTTTTATGGCTGAGATATACTCCATTGTTTGTATATATTTTCTTCATTCATTCATCTTTGACAGACATTTGGACTGACTTTATGATTTAATTATTGTTAATTGTGTTTCTGTGAATGTTGAAGTGGCAAATTGCTGTAGCATGCTGATTTTAGTTCTATTGGATAGTACCAAGGGGTGATATAGCTGGGTCTTAAAGTAGTTTGTTGAGAGCCACAGCCAAAGGGGCCCCAGCAAACTTCCAGCTGCCAGCAAACTTCCAGCTGCCGGCTGATGATTGGCTCACAGTGGCCCCAGCAACGTCTAGCTGATTGGCTCCTCTGCAGTCATGTTCA